TATTAATAATGATAATAATTAATTTAATTTCACTAAAATTCGATTTTCCTCTTGTAACATACCATGCAATCCTCTGAAGAAGACGTTATTCCTGGAGTAGATCGTTTAGATAAATCTTTCAGGAATTACTGTGCCTATTTTTTCAACAAATTTAAATTATTCCGAGCTCTGGAAGGTTCTTTTGTGCACATCATCCGTGCCATTGTCTGCCATTCCAACCGTCCCTTTTAGCTAGCGAAACTGTCTCGTTGTTGTATTCCCATAGGTACAAAACCGCCCATAAATTTGGTGAGTACTTTTAGACAATTTGCTGCCTCATTCGGTCTTTTTGAGGTTTACCAACGAACCGATGAGTAAACCCGAAAAATACTAGATCCGTTGCCTACTCGTCATATTGACTGCTCTGCGAGTATTCTGGTGGTTCCAGAAGTAGAGAGTGGAGGTCATGCAAACTAAATCCGTTAAGCCGTACGTAGGTGTTCCGAGGTGAGTTACTACGTGGGGACATAATGACCGGGTAAGAGATATTTTGTTTGCTGTAGTGTATGAGAGCGTAGAAAACTCGGATACTTATAAAAGTCCTTTATCCATTCGTCAGGAAATTGTGTTAATTTGCGGACCACTAAGATGCTATGCTGACTATAGTGAAGGTAAGAGGTTGTCAGCTTTCATAAAGGACGACGATACTGTTCTTGTGCTCGAAGAATCGGATGACCTTGAATTTAACGTACCCTCATCATCCATCATCAGCATGTTCTGGTGTCACAGTTGCTTTAAAACCTTGAATTCCTTCGAACTTTTCATCCCCCATTCTTCGCCCTTATCACTGAGCACAGAAATTGACTCGGAACTTTTAAAACCAATTTTGAATTAGAGATACTCTACTGATTTGTCTCAGCAGGTGTACTTCTAATAGCCAACTGACGTCTTACGGCCTGGACTAACAAATCTCATTTGCATATCAATTTGTTTTTTCACGGGCAACTCAACCGAATCTCTCTCTTATGGTGGTTTTCTACTGAATATTTCGCACTGCCCTATGTGTGAGCTGGTATGATATTTTAGAAATTGCAGTATATTTTGATAAGTGGAACGCCGAGTAAATCGTGAAACGCAAACTGATACAAAATCAGATTGTTTGTCATTTTTTGTCCAATTTGGGTTCAAGTAGAACATAAGATTTAAGAGAGACTCAGGGACTGCGGCTATTCGATAAACTTCAAGCGGGGAGAAACCGGACATTGGCTGTCGAAAAGTTTTCCTCAACCCTGTGAGCAGAAAGCACAGCAGTGTTTAATCGAGAACATATGTAAAGATGTAGGTTGATGAAGACATTTCAGTTTTAGCTTTAGAGATTTATTAAACTTCTGGTGGGATCACACGAAAATCTACCGGAAATCAAGTTACGCGGTGGCTAACAAGTCATCGGGAAAGGCTCTCTTACACTGTTCAAACCATAAACTGTGGATTTGTTTGTACTTCAGGCCGTTAGAAATGACAAAGTTGAAATGACGCCTGTCATGGTTTGTTTTTGAAGAGTATGGTGACAGACATAAAAAGAGAATGCAAGCGATGGATGCAAAAGGGTTACAGGATAATATGAGATAAAAGAGAGAAACGTCTCATTCGAAGTCATGACACCAACTGTTCCAGTCAGATAAGATTAATCGAAACGTATGTGAGAATTTTTGGTATGGAAATACGCGCGTAAAGACCAACAACCGAAGAAAGGACAAACAATGCTGAATGTTCTTCAAGGTGCGGTAAGCGCTAGTGCAGTCAAGACATCATACCCGTCATACTGGGTCTGGTGTGAGATTAAGTGGCGAAAATGTACACTGAACACCATGTGCCACGCAGAAGTGTCGTAAGTACGCAGAGAGCCCACATTGACAAGCGAATTCAAGTCACTTTAGCAAGTTCCAGTCCAATAGCAGTCTTGGTGGATTGAGGAAAGCAGATCTGTCGATAAGAGGTGAACCATGACATCATAACCAGTTGCACGTAAAGCTGAGATTGTGGTGAAGGAATATTCATCAACATCATACTTCGGCTTCTTCTCACTACACACGCCTTCCTCGAGACTATGCTGACGACTATTACAGTTGCACGGCGATCTCGAACAGCGAGTAGGTCAGGTTTGATGAACGACGTAGAAGTAGAGGCTCTCAACTCCTCGAAGACGGTGTACCCCAGTCGACGGAGACGTTTTGTAATTCCCCTTGCAACCCGATTACGACGAGCACATCTGACATCATGCGTGATCCAGCAGGACTGCAAAATATGCACTAAACTCTTCGGTTTACCACAGTTTCCACAACATAAGATCGTCTGGCCACCATGACCATGCCGAGCGCTTCTAACTCTCGTCCTAAGCAGGTTGCATCGGACCTGGATACCCCGGATAAATATCCGTGGAAACACTCGTTCTGGGAATACGAGCCATCGGTTTGAGAGAGGCGAAGTGACCAACTCTCGTAAACCGCGACCGTCAACGCTGTTGTGCAGACTATCACTCCAAGCAGCCACCAGCTCCTCCTTGGTGTTTACGCATGCGCCATGGACTCGGATCGGAAGGCTGAGATCCGGAACAATTTTGCTAAATGCGGAATCGTTGGCCACATTGCGTAGTACTCGGCACTGAGTAGAAAGGAGCTTTTCCATACGCGTTTTCCACTGCATCGGGATTGTTGCACTCAGACTTGGGATACCAAGTCCCCCATGTTGTTTACCGGCGTGGATGTAGCTGATCGGGGTGTCCTTCGGTAGACGTAGCCAGCCACGAATATATTGCCTGATGTAGTTGTCCAATCTTTTTAGCGTGTTCCTGTGGACTTGGCCGAGCACGAGCGAATATGTCAGCCTTGGTATCAGGTAGTTCCTCGTGATATCCATTCTTTGATGCGGCTTCAACGGGGCACGCGTCACTTCTTCGAGCAGTTTGAGCAGGTGCTGTCGGTGGTTGAAGACCCCTTTCCCCTTGGAGGTAAAGGGAATGCCCAAATATGTTACAGTGTCTGTCGGACCCAGAGGAGTGATTAGTTCCTCGGCAAAGCGAAATGGTTCGACTGAGACTGCTGTTGCCCGATGTTTCCTGTCCCCACAAATAACCATCACTTTAGTCTTTCGGGCGTTTATTTTCATGCCAGCTCTTCCCAACTCGACCGCAGTAGCTTCAAGCTTCTCTTTAAGGCGTGCTTGACTTTCTGCACACACGACCCAGTCGTCAGTGAAAGCAAAACCATCTACTAAGGTGTCGTGGAACTGGTATCCCAGTTGCGGCATCGACAATCCAAGAACCTCATCCATTGCCATAATGAATAATAATGGGGAGAGTGGATCTCCTTGCCTCACACCTCTGTGGCAGTGAACCTCGGAACTGGGGAAAACTGCTACAGCATTCTCATAGGACTGTGCGATGTATCGAACTAGAGGTGACGGAGCTCCAAACGCCTTGGCAGATCTGACGATTGTGTCATGCGAAACCGAATCGAACGCTTTCGAGATATCGACAAACGCCAAGCTGAGGTTAGAAGCAGTCGCTGAAGAGTGACGAAGCAGGGCATGCAACAGCGATGTGGCTTCCAAACAGCCGTCTCGATGCAGAAATGCAAACTGAAGAGAGGGCAGTTGCAACATACGACTCCGGAGATCAGCAAGCAGTTTATGAAAGCATCGGACAAGACGAGCATCGGATTACAAGATCTGTGTCAGTTGATCTGGTGAAGTCGGATTTGGGACCTACGGAACTAGGGTACGGAACGGGGGCACAACACAGATGTGTAGGACAGACCCCAGAAAATAAAAATAAGTTGAAATACCCAGCGAGCACATTAGCATTGAACCGGCGGAGCGTCCTGTGTGTGAGCTTGTCCAGGCCTGGGGACGAATTGCCCATTAAACGGATCGTACGTTCGACTACCTCTTCTGTAATTGGCTCGATCAAGCTCCAGTCGGATGGTACTACTACGCGACTTGGCCGGCTATCCACATGTTTCGGACCTGAGAGCACCCGTTTCCAATACTACTCGGCGTCTATAGGTAGACCGCAGTTTCCTTTGTATAGATGCTTCCATGACTCATCGAGCACATCAGACGCTGAATCTTTGAGTCTTTGGTGGTACAGGGTCTGGATGGTGGCGTAGTTGGCTCGGCGGATCTGCTTTCGGTTGACCGGGATCCAATGAGTTAACTGACGGCGGCATCGGGATACAGTTTTCCAGGTGTGTGGAAATGTTCTGGACACGTGGAGGTCTAGAAGCGACAGGACTTGCTCCAGTGACATGATGCCAGACTGCAACCCTCGGGCAAATGCCAGAAGGTCAACACTAGCGAGCGAACGGTCAGCATGGGATTCCAAGAGTGACACGGTGCAATCCACGGTTTGTTTAGACCAGACGCTGTAGTCATCGGCTTCTGATGAGTAGGCCGTCGTCTGACCGATAGTTTGGTCAGGTCCACCCAATGATGATTCGTCCTGTTGTGTTTGCCAGTTAAGCACCCATAACCTGTTTCTGATGCTGATAGCCGATCGGCCAGGAAAATACTGCTCCAATCTCACGAACAGCGCGGTATGCGTGCCACAAGACGGATATAAATTGTTATCCAGGCGCAAGAGCGATTGTGACTCTTGTTAGGATCAGCGGGTACCGGAATACCTCACTCCGCCAAGCGTATCTGCATTGTGCTGGGTGGACTGTGCATGTCGGCGATGTTGTGGGAACAATCAGCGCAGGTCAACTGGTCAACCGCGACCATGTTAGTACCAACAATTTCATTTTCGTGAACTCGATGGTGGGCTACCAAGCCATCTTTCTAATTGCAACACTTGCCACATTCCTCACACGTGAACCCAACGAGTCTGTCCTGTGTACTGGTTGGAACTGGTGCAGAGGCGCCAGACGATTCGTAGTATACATTGTCGAAAGTAACCAGCACATTGAAACCAAACAGTGTAGTTAGCCCTGTCTGGAGTTGCTGAACTCTTAGCTCACCCAGACTGACGTCCAGGCTACCCAGTCGGCACCACGAGGAGGTGGTTCAGCTCGCCGATACTAGCAAGTCATCGGGAAAGGTCCCCTTACAATTATTATGACGGTCTACATTTATAGGTACTCTGACGCATAATCGCCTTCAGGAACCAATCAACTAGTGAAACTGTATTCTACACTTCTAATTGATGTCTCCTAACTCCCTTTATTCCCTCAAATCTGTTTCGTCCCAATTCTGAGCAAATATTTGCTTACTATTCAGTCAGGCAGTTCAGTGGAGCCCTAGAAATCCCGTAAAACCCAGAATAACTACACTGCTAGGAAATTGTTTCCTTTCTGGACACATCAGAGTGTAACCCCGATGGACGGAAATGTGAAGAGCGTTCTTGCGTTTCTCTTCACAGTCTGTTTATGACCAAGTAATAGATAGTCATTCACCATGTTGTCAGCTCAAAGTCCTAACACATCTTCACCTTCGTCAGGCTGAAGAAGAGCAACGTGAACGTGCTGCTCAGGCTAAAAAAGATGTCAAATCGGTCAGCTCGTACGAGGAGTTCATACCCAGTCGAGGAGCAGTCATCGACCAGTACGGACCAGGCACCGTGTTCTACAGGAACCAACAGAGACGAGCGGCAGCGGAACGCGCGGAAAAAATAAAAATGGTGAGCATTTTGTAGCTTCAACTAGACCGTTTGATGATGATGAACGGTCCCTCCTGAAATGTTATCTTCAGAGATTGAGTCCCTCCAGCATACCTGTTCAATTTTTTCTCGGAGCGAACAACTCCCCGACCTGCTGGTGGCCTACCAGGAGGGCATACTTTATTCCAGAGGAACTTCAATAGTTTTTTTCTAAAAGTTGATTTGTTTCTCGCTAAACGTTTTTTGCGAAGTCTAGGGTTTATGCAGCACCTTGTGTTTACTGGTAATAACTGAACGGTCAGCTTTATGACCCACGTGTTCGTATTCCGTTCTTCATAGAAAAGCAGTTGCTATCTATCTTCCAAAGAGTTGTGTAGACGAGAATCCAAGCTTAGCAGACATCTAAGACCTGACGAGACCTGATTTCATCTCCGCTTAATGTTACCACCGTCTCCTGCGGTTAGGACCGACAAATTCAACGCGTGAGAGAACGCCCCACCTCAATCATTCATGTGTTTCGTGTGTCCGTGGAGTGGTCTATGAAAGGCTTTAGAACTTTAGCGAAATACACTCATTTGCAAACTAATTTGGTTTTCCGAGAGACTCACCTGGAACCCAGCTGAATCTCTCGTTTGTGATGTCTCCAGGCAACTGAATGTGCTACACCAGGCCGCCTCATATTTCAGTCGCTACGATATTCGAGATATCGCGATACATGTATATCTTTGTAATTTACTGCTCATAAGGTTGCTGAAAATTCTTCGAATACTTTTCAGCAACCTTATGAGTAGTGCTTTAGAGTTTTCTCCAGGTCTTATGGACCCAAACGCTTGACCTGCCAATCAGATTGCTTTTGAAACTGAGACTAGGACATCAAAGTCACAGCGGTTAACAGTAGAGTGGGCATTCGAAGTCACCAGTTTTATGGCTTGCTTGGTTGTTGAGTCCTAGAGACCCACTCAGGTTGTATTTTTGAAAATTTTCATTCAATAGCCAATCAGATGGGTAGTGCGTGATAACTGTCCTTGATGAGCCACAGAGCGACTTCCTATTGGGTATTACCCGCAGAATCGCATACCGTATATCTTCACATTGTTGGCTCATACCATTATCAATTATAGTTTTGCTTACCTCGTTATGCCCGGAAAATACCTCATCATCTAGAACATCAGCTCAGTTGCATCTAGAAGCAGACCAATTATAGTTTTGCTTACCTCGTTATGCCTGGAAAATATTTCATCATCTAGAACAGCTCAGTTGCATCTAGAAGCAGAGTTCACAATCCACTCCACGGCGTGGAATATCACGGACGGACTAAAAGCCACGATTTCATCCCGCACTTTATATCATTCACTACGAAATTATGTCCGATGAATACATCCTTTATCAGCTGAAGGTTGTATTCAGCTCACGCAATCCACCCACCAATGGTAGATGGACCAAAAAGTCCAAGTTAGGGCATACACCGCACGTACTGGGTGTCAAATAACGTGTATCAAACTCTAAAATGACAGCCCATTTTTCTTGCTTGTATTCGTTGTCCTTCAACACAGAATATTCACCTTTCCAAAATGCATGAATCCACTCAACTGTTTCCGAAAACTCCGATAGATTTGGGGCTTTTAAGCACGGAACTCCCAGGACATCATGCTGTATGTTGAAGCGATGCAGAATACAACAACACTTCGATCGATAAGCCTCCCTGAACTACATCCAACGTAAGTGATGTTCACGGATTCAAATGAGATGATCGACGAACAAACTGTGCCTAGGTCATCGATTGCCTACTTACCAATGGAATGAAAGATCAAAGGATTGGACACTGCTGCACCTACTGTAGTGTTGGCTTATGGCAGGATCAAGGTTATTCGGAACTCATACAGAGCGCTTTTGGTGACACAGTCGTATTGCGTGTGCATATCGCAACAACTTCGGCTGTTGCCAGGTGACACCACTACAGTAGCCTATACGGAACCACAGATTATGTGAATCTCTTCGGGGAGGTTGACGACATAAGTGACCTATATGGACTGCGTATAAGACAATGACTGTTCTAATTGATCTGGTGACCCCACTGATAGTCGAAGAAAGAAAGCACTCTTCCGCTCTCTTCTTGACCGTTTGCTCAACACATTTTTCTGTAAAACATCCCATCTTTCAGTGTAGCATTCTGTTAAGAGTGTACTAGAACCGACGGCTGACCAGTTCGTCCAATAGTTTACTTAGAAATGTGAACTCATAAAAGTGGGCCTCTTTTCTGTAGTCCTTGATAACAGAAGGGACCGGTTGTTGCATCGCTTTTACCAAGGAGGCTGTTATTCACCAATCTGTGGTATCTGCTGCTGATCCGTTCCAGTGCCCAGTGCCTGAAAAAAGACTTACAGAAGGGAACACAACAGCTATATTCCGAACAAGCGTGAGTGCGTGCGAATGTGAGAGCAAAAGTTAAAACGACCCCACGCTATTTGAAAGGAGACTTTATGATATTGATCCAAGCTGCCTGATAGGCGTTAGTGAACACCCGTCAACATCGATCGTGCCTCTATGAAATGCCTGAACGCTGATCACATTTGGCCGTGCTTCTGTGGCATGCATGAACACTCATTAACTTTTGATGAATTGATTGAATGATTGACTGGCCTGGATGCTTCCGGCTTCCCTGTTGAGATTTTGGTGGAGCAGTAGGTTCCGGGCGTTCCGAGGAATTTGACCTGCTTTCAGGAATCTGACCTTCCTGATAGAGGCATTCCGAAAATCCGTAGCCTCATAACAAAGCGGGTTCATGGATTCAATCATCGATGCTAACAGGTTCTTCGTGAGCCACACCAACTTAAGGGTTGGGCTTTCAGTACGGGACGCTAGTCCTTCCTATCTTTCAAGTGTGGAACAGTTAAATGTGCCTTAACGGATACCGCAAAATAAGTAACAAATACACGGGAGCTAAGGCTGTTCAATCACAAACTGAAGTAGACAACTATCTGACTTACTTCTTCGTGAAGAAAAACAAGAAAATCGGGGAGTTGCCGCTGACTCTATGTGAAACTCTAAAACAAAACGCACATGCATGGCAGACCAATCAACTAGCTTCCCGACATCAGAGGTGTCCGTAAAATGATCCGGGGATCTTCGCGTTTGAAACGCATAGACAAGAAAGGTCGTACCTTGTCCACCGAGATTTACATGAAGCACAGAGTTAAGTTTCTTATTGCGGATAATGTTGGTAGCTCAGGAGGCGTAGAGGGTTGTTGGTTTGTTCGCTGTGCCGTCGGTTGCAATCCAGTCATCACCCATCGAGCTGACACGGTCGGTGCCTTGTTAGGGAGCGTAGTGCACCGTAGCCGCGGGTCAACGGTTGCGCTCAGCTTGGCCCAGGTAGTTTGGCCCTCCTATTAACACGAGTTGAAAAACGGAGTAGTAACACACGGTATCCCAGGTCACAATGGAGGGTGTTTCGTTGCTTGCGATTCTGTGATAGATGGGCAAAATACGATTGAGACAGTTAAAGATTTCATTTTAATTTCCATAGAGGGAGGTTTCTGAGCACCTTCTCCTATGGCTAATTGAGGCACAAGTGGGACAAATGATATTTCACAATGGCACTGCTTTGATCCGTACTGATAAACTGAGGAGTGTTATCTCTGGTTACTGGGCCATCCGGTAAAAGGTTGTGGATACCATACCACGCATAAACCTGTCGAAGGTAGCCTATATACAATGCAAAGAGGAGTTCCGTTATACCGGATAGATTGAACAGAAGTGTTGGGTGTGCATATTAAAAGTACTCCTTTGGGGCGTGGTCACTCACTGAAGAAGACATAGTTCGAGAAGTGCGCCAGAGTTCATTCTCATTTTGTACTGACCCTAAAAGCTTTTCTCAAGCAGCATGTCTCTTGGGGACTTCTATAAAGACGAGTCAAAATCAACATAAAGGCTGTTACACAAATTAGAAGACGTACTGAAAAGTCGAATATTTGCATTTGAACTTACAGATTTAATCAATAGGTTTCCTGATCAGCAGACGCGACGACAGCCAGATGGCAATGCCATCCTCCCCTCCCCCCACCCGAATATCTATCTAAGATGATAGTGTTTAGCACAACCCATGCTTTCAATCCACTGATATGAAAACGAGTGTATTTGTCAAAATCTGTCCAATTCGGTTTCAAGTAAAACATAATGTTGATGGAAACCCGGGACTGCGCCCACATGATCAGCCCTAAGAAGGCACAACCGGTCGTGGGCTGTCAGTAATCTTATGAGTAGTGTGTAACCTCTGGACAGCTAGCTATATTTCCAACCGGTGTTTATAAACCTGTATTGTTGTATCTTGAGGACCGCAGCGGCATCTAATGAACACTGCGATAAGTTGAACCCTATTTTACAAAGCATGCACCCAAAAAAAAAAAATGCGGTTCTGGGGCTTCCTTCCCACCGAACTCACTTTGTAACTTGAGCCGAACTTCCATACTCTTTGCAATCGTCTTTTCACTTTTACTGCATATAGCTATTAAGCAATATCGATGTCTCTATCAAGTAAATTAGCTTGGAAAGAATCTTGGATTCTGTTAACGGCGTCCGCTTTTTCTCTCTTTCTTTACTGTTTCTAGCGTTCGCCACATTGAAGCCAACTCTACTAGTTACTCAGAATTACGAAAGCCTTCGCCTCAGTATCTATTCAGACTTGACCTTGAGAGCTCCAATCTAGAGCACATTTGTTTTAAACGACAGCTTTCCCTTCTATCCTTTATTTCATTAGCTTCTATAGTTCGCAGAGCCATTTGAAAGAAAATAAACAGTTGTGACAGCAGAGGCTTTTGTAATTCGTGTGTCACAGATCGTGCAAAAGATCACCATGTCTAGACACTGTTCACAAGGTTTTTGAAAACTTTCGGACAGTTCACAACCAATCTCGCCTTTCTTGAGGCTCAACATGTGGGCGCAGTTGCTCTAGCGAACAATCACCAACGACAGATTCAACTGAATTCAACCGAGTAGTTTGCAAATGAGACTGTCTGGCGC